GCACACACCTGATCATCTACATTTGCTCTCTTACAACACTAAACTATGTTTTCTACCTCTATGTTGCATCTACCTACCACTTCAGCATTTTATTTAAAAAATAATAATAATAATAAAGGGAGAAATGTGGGATTCACATATAAATCAAGTATAAAAATCAAATGAATATTCATATTTGACCTGATTGTTTATAGTTCATAATGAGTGATCAAAACCGAAAGTTTTTGTGATGAATGCCCTTGTACTGTTCACCATGTAAGAACTTCACTATGTAAGAATTTGTTCACCATGTAAGAACTTGTTCATTATGCTTCAGAAGATTGGAGACTGATGAGAATTAGGCTGGGGGTGTATTAATGATTGTGCATTGAGCATTGACTCCCCTATATAGAATTTTATTGTTGTTAACAACCATTTGATCAATAAATATGAGAGATGCCCTCTCAAAAACAAACAAACAAAAAAACCTTTTAAGTACTTATACAAACTCAACCTCTGACGAGTGAGCTCTTTCAGTTTTGCTGAATTCTCTGTTTAATACAGAAATTGGTGTCAGAAGCCAAGCCTTGGATTTCCCTAACTTGCCAGCGGAGCCCTTCCAGAAAGGAAAGGAAGGAAGTGGTGCTCCTTCTGACGTGCCCGTAACTTGTTTGAATTGCCTGAGCCAGGCTGACAGCATCAGTGCCTCTGGGAGTTTCCTGTCGCCCATTCCTATTCTGATCCTGATTACTTAAGTGTGCCATCGATGGCTGGTTTTCTTAATCTTGTTTTAGTGGCTTGCTTAGTAAAAATTATTTTCTTTCCCATTACATGATTGATTGTTACACTTCATTTCCGAAGTCAGTATGATATTATTCATATTTGTTTTTTACCATCATGGCAATTTTAATGAGACATTATAGTAAGGTCTCCTCAAGTTCCATGCATATACATCCACCTGAATAGAAATTGGTGTAATTTACTAGGTATGTGAACTTGGGCAAATTAATCAACCTACCTGTATTTCAGTTCCTTTGTGTGTAAAACAGAGGTGATGATAACACTTATCAATAGGATTGTTGTGAAGATTAAATGAAGTTAAATATGTAATGAAGACCCTGTTTAATCATAGTGAGAGTCCAATAAATGCCAGTTTTTATTTGTATTATTACTTTGAGGAGGATAACGTATTTGAGGTTAGCTCATCCTGCAGTGACCTTACACTAATGATCCTAATGACTATCCTATACCTTACTGTTGCCTTTATGTAAAGTGGGGATATAAAATAAGCTTTCATAATCTAGAGTGCGCATGGCAAAGAGGACCTCACAGTGTCAGAGAGTGGAGGGATGAGAGCCGTGTGTCCCCAGTACAAACAATATCGGGGTATACATTGTACAGAATTTAAACACAGTAATTCAAAAGTCAGTCTACATATTATTACCACGATGCTCTTTTAATTCAGAGATACAAACACCCCTCTTACTGGGAGCAGACAGTTCCCAGCCTTGTCTTTTGGTATGCCACACATACAGGGCATGAGAGGCACTCTTTGCCTGCCTGAGTTTGCCTGCACCTATTATTGGATATAAGCTTTAAAATTAGAGTTATTAAAATTCTTGATTTCTCCCAGATCTGAAGGTCACCCTTGGGGTAGACACAGCTTAAAGGTGACATAGTGTTAAGTGGCTCCATAAGGACCACAGCTGAAGTATTGTGTATCCATATCTTTTTGATCTCTGACATAATTACTATTGGCTCAAGGAGCCATATTTAATAAATCAAACATTGTTTTTGGGGCTTAGTCATACAATGTCCATATAATCTTATTTAATTTTTAAAAATTGAACCAACTATATCCATTTTTTTAAATCCAACTATTTCCATGAATACTGAGGTACTATAGAAGAAAATTCTATTTGTTTAAACTAACATGGGCCTTACTTTTTGTCATCCTAACCAAGTTTTAAGAACCATAAATAGAATTTTGAAAATTATCTTTACAAGTGAATCAAGAATATAAATTTCTTTGTGGGTACAGGAGATCTAAAATATCTTTATCATCCTATATCTTTTTTGGTGAACTATCTGCTTGAATTTTTTGCCCATTTTTTAACTGGGTTGTTTGCTTTTTATTGTTGAGTTTTGAAAGTTTTTCATTCTAAATCTCCTATGTGCTTTGCAAAGACTTTTTCCAAGTAGATAGCTTATCTTTTCTTCCACTTGGAAGTCCGGGGAGAGGAAATCCTGGAGCAAAATACCTCTAAAAACTGAAATCAGTCAAAGGGAGAAATCTTTCCTGCTCCAGCAGAAGCAACACTGGCCCTCCCCCTCACCTCTCAGGTACAGATAAGCCCTCCATTGCCCAGGTGATTACTCACTGATATGGAGATGAACTTCTCTCCACCCTTGAGGAATGATGCAAATGCCCTAAAGCCATACTTTTCTCCACCCATGAGTACCTGTTGATACGCAGATGTACTGAAGACAGGGAGATATTCTGGAAATATTACAATTTTACCCACACACTTAAGAGTGCCTTTTGAAGAGCATACATTTTTTCTTTTGATGAAGTCCAGTTTATACATTTGTTCTTTCATGGGTTCTCCTTTTGGTGTTACATTAAGAAATCTTTGCCTAAGTATAGCACAGAGAAGACAAGCAGTGACTCTACAGCATCTTACTACACTGATGGACAGTGACTGCAATGGGGTATGTAGGGGGGATTTGATAATATGGGTGAATGTAGTAACCACAATGTTGCTCATGTGAAACCTTCATAAGATTATCAATGATACCTTAATAAAAAAAAAACAAAATCTTTGCCTAATCCAGAAAATATATATATATATCTTTATCAGCAATTATTTGGAAAATTCATTCAGAACAAAGTCTCCTTAACACAAGATTGGGACCTGTTATTGAGCACGCTGTATATGCAAAGCACAGTGTTAGGCATTTTTATACATTATCTCATTTAGCCATCAGAACAAACCTTTGAAGTGGCATTGTTATGGCTGTTTTAAGGAAGACGAGTAGAACTATGTCAGCACCCCCAAAGCTCCCTTCATGTCCTTTTCTAATCACTGTTACCACCCATCTTCTCAAAGATAACCCATATCCTGATCTGTAACATGATAGTTTTGCTTCTATAAAGATGGATATATAAACTTTTGTGTTTGTGAAAGCCATCCATTTTTCACTTAACAGAAATTTGTTTACATTGTCTTATAGTATGAACACTGGTATGGATATTTTTGTTTATGTTCCTAGATTAATATGTATACAAATGCAAATAAATAATTTTATCCAGAGCCAAACATACAATAAGGGCTCTACATATGCTATTATTACTGCTGTGATTTTTTTTATAATTAGTAAACTATATGAATAACTATTTATGATTTCCCCATTCTTCTCAACTAATTTCTTGGCTCAATGCTAAAATCATTCAGGTATTTTAAAAAAGACATCTGAACAAATGGACATACATATCAGTTGCTACTCTAACCCTTGACAAGAGTCACTATAATCAGTATGAACATTCTTTATGCTAATATAAAGAAGGCAAATTCAGGCAAACTTAATTTCCTCTGGAGTTCAGTTCTTTGACTCACAGGTAAGAGAATATTGTTGATGTTTTATACCTGACTCCAGTAATAGTTTAGATATAGATTCTCCTGATACTTGTGGGCAAAACAGAGAATAAGAGCTGTGGAGTAACATATTTAAGTATATCTGTAAATTGTCAAGTAACTGCTTAAAGTGGACTATAGCATATGCCTCTGACCCCATTTTTCTGATGCCAAACCCTGTTCTGATCAATATTTTTATCACAAACTTGGATGAAGATACATTTAGGTTGACTTTAAAATTTTACAGTCAGTAAATTCTTGCTTAAGATTATCTTCCATTGACAAAGATACAAAGTTGTTAGGCAAAGAAAATGCAACAAGTGATAGAATATCAGTCTGTACCTGCATGTGAGTAAACAAGAGATTATTTTGTCACCTATTGCCACACATGGAAAATCGCAGCCAATATATATAGTAAAAAAAGAAAGCCAAGTGACTGGATTAGGTGAAAGAAACATGGATGGCTATTCATGGAGATAGGGATGGCCAATGTCATAGTAGAAGTGGATGTTTTTATCTCTCTATGCTGATGGACAGTGACTGCAATGGGGTGTGTGGGGCGGACTTGATAATATGGGTGAATGTAGTAACCATAATGTTGCTCATGTGAAACCTTCATAAGATTGTATATCAATAATACTTTAATAAAAATAAAATAAAATGGATGCTTTTAGTCTTGAGACAAATCCATTATCTAGACACCAAGCAGGAAAATCTAACACATTCAACAATGTAGTCAGAGGATTTAACGTCGTTCGATAACATTCCTAAAATGGGAAAAATGTGTGTGGTACTGATTTAAATTTTTTTAAAAATGTAGAGGGTTTAATTAATCCAGTATGTATTGATTACAAGCCAATTATATGGCTAATAAAGCTAAGATCATTTCAGACTTTTTAATATTCTCCATAAAGATTTTGCATATTTTTTCTGTGTGTGATTTATTCTTAGTTAACTTGATATTTGTTGAGGTCATGGTCATTTCATCTTTTAAAAGAATATTTCACTTCAACTGTCTGTTGATGGTATGAGGAAATGGAATGGGTTGTTTTGCACTTATTTTGTGTCTAGAAACCTTGCTAAATAATCATATTTTAAGAATGTATTGAAGAACACTTTTGGATTTGCTATCAATCATAATCTGTGAATAAGGGCAGTTTTATTTTGTGCTTTACAATGTTACATCTTTTATATCATTTTCTTGCCCTATTGTGTGATTGGTGAAAGCCTTGAAAAAATAGAGTGAGATGTTTTTTGCTGATTTGGTCCCAAACTCAAGAGGGATGATTTCAATTTATCATTGATAGGTACTATACTTGCCCTAGATTTTTGCAGAAACTTTTTATCAGGAAAAAAAATGTTGCATTCTGTTCTCAGTTTGCTGCAAACATTTATTATGAATAGATGTAGGATTATATCAAACTTTTTTTCCTTTCGGTGTTTTTCCTTTAATCTGTTAATGTGTTGATTACATTAATTGGTTTTCTAATGGTTCATTATTGGAGTCTCACTGACTATGTAACCCATGGCAGTTTGGCTTCTATTCAGTTAAACTCTTTTTACGTTAATACTAGGAAGCACTGATTACTCTCTTCTTGAAACGCTCCTTGTTCTTGGTCGCTTTGAACCCTCATCTCTTGGTTTCCCTTCTATGTCTGACTGCCTTTTGTCATTCTTTTGGATTCGTCACTGTCTGTGTTCTTGGGGCCCCAAGAGCTCATCACCTCTTATGGAACCAAGTGTGTGCTGCTGAACCCCAAATCTCTGCTTGTAGTCCAGTTCCTTTTCTGAGCTGTAGTCACAAATATCCAAGTGCCCACTCCGTCTTTCTGCTTGGATGACTTCAAATTAGTCCAAAATGTTCAAAACAGAACTCATCATCTTCTAACTTTTCTTCTTTCCCCTACTTCTTGCTTCCAAACCTGCTCTCCTTCAGGGATTTCCTCAGGTCACAGTATTAAGTGCATCCAGGTGTAGAAGCAGCAGCCAGAAAGTCATGTTGGCTTCCCTTCCTTTTCACAGGCCCCGAATCCATCACCAAGCCTTACTGATTCTATTTCCTAAGTGCTTCTCATAGCAGTGAATTTCTTTCCATCTCTGGACAATAATCTAGTGAAAGCTACCATTCTCCTCTTGAAAATACTACCAAATCTCTTTATTTTAAGCCTTGCTCCATTCAATAAATTTCTTTCTTCCTTCCCTCTAGTGAGCTGTATTACATTTGTAAAAAGGTCTGACACATGGCAGGCACTCATAAAATACATTCATTGAATAATAGATAAATTAGATTGTAAAGTTTTCTATGGAAAGCAAGTAAAATATTTGGATTCAAATAATATAATATTTCAGGTGAGGAGGAAAGTACAAATCAGTGAAAAAGAATCTGGCCCATATTTGCATGCTAACATATTTGACTTTAACTTTTTAATCATTACCATGAGTGGAAAGTTTCAGTTCATGCCAATGATAAATGGACACACAAGCTGTTTGGTTGGGAAATTAGTAGCTCTTTCAAAGAAATATAAACACTTTCATGAAAGTATGTCAGACTATATACCTTAGTAGATCTTTGTGGATTAAGATCTGCATTACAAAAAAAACAGAAAGATTTCCTTAGACATATATGAAACTATATCCAACAGCAGGAAGTTCAGCTTAAGATGGAAATTGCAATAACAGCAAAGAGGATAAGGACAAGAAATGCATACTATTCTGCAAGAGTTTGCTTATAAATTTATTATTGAGACATAGTATTTGGAATTTGGATTTTTTTTTAATAGAAAATGTTCCCTGGATTGGATGGAATCTTTGTGATACTGTCAATAGTGGAAATCATAATTGAAATGTTGGGGAATGTGTTCATGGACTGGTAAACTGCTCTAAATAGGTCAAGAACCAAAAGACCTCTTTCGCTGACCTCATCCTCACCTGCTTGGCTATCTCCAGAATCGGTCAGCTGTTAGTGTCATTGTTTGAATCATTAATTATGAGACTGTATCCACATTTATTTTCCACTTACAAGCTAGCAAAACCTGTTACTTTGTTTTGGAGAATAATCACTTGACTGCCTGGTGGGCCACCTGCTTAAGCATTTTTTACCTCCTTAAGATAGTGGAGAAATGACTCCACTCACTTTTCCTCTTGCTGAAGGGGAGAAGAAACAGAGCGATTCTTGTGATTCTTTATATTTTTTCTTTCTAAGTTTTGACTTTCTATTGCTAGAAACATTCGAAGATCTCTTCTTGAATGTCTCTGTAGTAGATGCCAGCAATCTGACAGCCATATTTGGGTGAAAATAAACTATCTATGTCAAAACTGTGGTCATTCGTAGCTTGACCTGTTTCATTCCTATTGTCCTGTCCCTTATCTCATTGCTCCTTTTATTCCGGTACTTGTAAGACACATCAGAGATTTGCAGCTCAACAACATGGGCTCAAGGGACTCCAGCACAGAAGCCTATAAAAAGGCCACGAAAATGGGGATGTCTTTTCTTTTCCTCTTCAGGGCTCATTTTTTCCCCCCACATAATTGGCAAATTGGATGTTTCTTGTGTTTTGGAACAAGTTTACCAAGTTTGTCATTTTAGCAGTCTATGTTTTTCCCTCAGGCCACCCATTTATTTTGATTCTGGGAAACAGCAAGCTAAGACAGACAGCCTTGAAGGTACTATGGCAACTTAAAATCTTGAAAAGAGAACATCCATTGCAGCTCCACAGAACGACTTTCCGGAGTCTTTTCAAAGATAATAACCTAATGGGGGAGCCTTGGAGGATCAATTTCATTTCTCCTGTTTTTTTTACTGGGTTCCTAAAAAAATAAGTGAAGTTTACCCTAGAACACATTACTTTTGATGATAATTCACAGATAGTCAACTAATATAATTTTAAGTCATCATTTTTGTTTAAAACATTGGTTACCAATATTTTAAAGTCTCACATATTCTTTCAAAGAGAATCTAAATTATTTAATAGCATATGCAAAAGATGTATGTAATTGCAACTCCTAGGTGGGGGAAGAGGCATGCAGCTCTTTAGAAATAAAGATAAATTACAAACTTCAGTAAGGTAAAAGATCTATAAAATATTTTTCTTTTTGCTTCATATGAGAAGGTATACCCAATTTACCTTGCTCAATATATGAATGGCCTCCATTCTGCTTTCTTGTTTACTGATGTATGCTACTAACTTACTGTGAATAAATCCACATACTTGGTGCTTGAGAGCCATTAGGATGGTCAAGGATTTCTAATGTTCACTGTAGATCCCTCATTAGGATAGAAACTAGCAGGGTGCCTGCTCTCAGATGTATTGCAATTAACCTACTAAGAATGCCAGTTTCTTATCATTTGCTGCAGGCATGCAAGATAGTCCTCTGGCCTTTCCATTGTCCCAACAGCACTGCTGAGATTCATATTTGTGGGCAGTGAAGGTAGGGAGGAATTGACTTCAGCTGAAAAAAGATTCATGACCTGGCCTGGTGGTAATCCTGCTGGGAATAGGCTATGAGGTTTTCTTGTAAAAACTGCAAGTTCCCTCGTGCATAGTAATTAATACAAGAAGTGTACTGATGTGACTCAATCCAACCCAGCTGGTGAGAATTCTGAGAGCTGTGGCAGGGGTTCTTTTCCTGGCCTGGTGTCTGGAACCTTCCAATCTACTCTTCACACTACTTTCCAAGTCTAAGTTTCTGGCATATTCCTCTCCTTTTGTTCCTATATTCCTAAACTTTCCATTGCCACCCCTTTATGTCTCCATGTATGTAAGTCCTATTTTCTTCTTGACTCTATCAAATGCTATTGATGGTCTACCAGGAAAAGCCCCCATTAGCATAGGACTGTAAGATTTTGTAACAGCAAATTCATTTAGGCCTCCTCAGTGCGGTGATGAGCAGTTTCAAAATTTGGGATTACCTTACCTCTACTCCTTCAGGGGAAGGAAAGTGCTGCCTTTCCATCCTAAGGGAAGTGTCCTTTCCTCTGCCTCCCTCCATCTTCTTCCTTTCTTTCCCCTACAAATAGGCCAAACAACTTTAGGAAGCAGCAAGTATAAAATACTTGAACTTATCAAATCATATTGAAAATTTATAATCTATGAAGCCTCCAATAATTATATTTATAAAAGATATTGCCAACTATTACCTAGGTAATACTTGTTTGAAAGTTTGAGAAAAGAACAGGATTATTCAAAAAAGAGCTGACTCCCTCATCAAGTATATCTTTAGAGATAAACTTGAGATTCAACTGAGGTTTGACCTGTTACTATGACCTTGGGAAACCTCCTTAAATCCGTTTCCTTATCTGAGAAATGATGATGAAATGTCTTCCTCATGAGGTACATGTGAGAATTATGGAGATCATGTATGTAACTTTTCATAGTTCCTGGTATTAAAAACTCAGTAAAATAAAAAAATGATGTTGGTAGTGACTATACGTTCTTTTAGCTAAGTAATGAGTTTTATCCTTTCCTAAGAATATGTTTCCTAGTCCTTAAATTACATGTTACTATGATCACTATTTCCCTTTTATAATTAAACTCTAACAGTCACCATTCCCTAGCATTTTTGTAATGTTTCACAGACGTTTTTTTGCTTTTTGCTTCTTCATTTTGAGGGAATGCTGGATAAATCACTATTCATGGTGGCCTGAAAAAGCTCAATTTATGGGTAGTAGACAATCTTAATAGCAGGAGCAAATGTACCTTTATTTCCTTTATTGACTGATGACTATATGTAGAAAACCAACTAATTTGGCATTCATTCAACAGCACTTACTATCTACTTTGCATTAGGCAATGCTCTGGGCTGGGTATAGAGAAATAAATCAAACACCTTTGGCTTCATAGATATTACCTGGTGGGATGCCAAGAAGAATAACATTACTTGTAAATTAGAATAATAAGTGGTTTTGTAGGGGCAAAAATCTTTTCTCCCCTGGGAAACTATATGGAGTGGTATTTTGTAGGAAGAAAAATAGAGATCTAGGTTTAAGAGTAATTGTGAAGAGTAAGTGGTAAATCATGGAGCTTTCACTCAGTTCCTACTATATATTTGTGAATACTAAGGCTGTAAAATTGGACAGGATACAGAGCTTCCAGTCTATTAGGAGTATATGAAACCGCCGCTGTACAGTGTCTTAAATTCTTCAATGTAAAAAACCAATCTGAAGAAAAAAGGTTGAGGCAGGCACTTTCACGTAGCCACCCAATGGAGCACCCTTATATCTCACCAATCCTCGCCTAAGGGCACTCACATTCTTTTATGTACAAATTGGGACTTAAGTGCCCCTAGGGAATAGTGATGCCAACCATTTGCAAGTCCATTGGCATTACTGAATTATTTCATCAGTTAAATTACAGTTCTGCTATTTTAGGCTAAATTTAGTTTCTGAGCTCTATCACAGCAATACATAATTACTAAGAGAAGAGATCACAGAACCATTGGATATCTAAAAAACACATCGGATTATACACTATTAGGCAAAAACAAGGGAGCCTATAATGGCCTTGGTTGTTACTAACATAGCCCTTAGGTGGAGTACAGGAAATAAATTCTGATCTAGTCAGAGGAATCTGGGGAAAAAACTTAGTGGAAAAAGTGGTATCTAAGTTTAGTCTTAAAACACAGGTATAGTCCACAGGCAGAAAAAAAAAAAAGGCAAAAGAAATTAAGTAAAAAGATGAGGATGTGCTCAATAGATTGGCTGGAGACAGGAATGAAGGGTTGAAGTACAATTACCCACACACTCCTAGGGTTAGTACCCTACGTTACCTCCTATAGACAAAAAACCTCCACTGGAAAACCAGACATCCCATATGAGAGAGTTTAAGTTTTATCCCCATGTTAATGAGATACTGCGTTACAACATGAGAGAGTTTAAGTTTTATTCCCATGTTAATGAAATACTGTGTTACAACAAATACTATTTGTGTATACATATATGAAGTGCTAAGACAGGCATATGTTAAATTTTGAAGGTTCTTTCACGGTGGTTATGTTTACAGTCATTTAACAGTTGAGGAAATTGGTGTTTAAGAAGATTAATGGACTCACCTAAACCCACAAATTAGTGTTTGTACTTTATGTACTTTGTTAACAGAGGCCTGCCTGGGTAAGGGAATTTTTAACCTCAATTCCTTTTTACTCTGGTGGCTTTTAACCAGTGGTGTTCATTTCCCTTACCTGGGGCACTTTTAAAAAGGAAATTTACTTAATTTGTAATCAAAGAAATACACGTACATAATTAAGAAAAATCAAAATAATGCTGTTAGACTGTAGTGAAAGACAACAATCCTCCACCTTTTCTCAACCCATCTGTTTTTTTTCCTCCAGAGACAACCACTTGTAACAATTTCTCATGGTAGTTTTTTCTGAATATTTATACTTTTAGAATTAACTTCTCTATATTAGATCTTGCCTGATTCTCCCCCCTTACGTACACATCTCCTCTTCAGTACCCCCCAATGTTACATAATCATTTCTTGTGATGTTGGTATTGTGTTTACATAATTAGGACTTTCTATGACTAGTATTATTCACAGTTGAGGTAGTTCTTGAAAAACTTTAAAATTTGGGGGGCTCGAAATTGCCTCAGATTTGTTTCCTTAATTGAGAAAAAATCTGCAGACCATTAATTCCTCTCCAGACTCTCTGGAAAAAAAATCTCTTACCCATATATTCGAACACCTGAACTTCCTGTCTTCAGGCGTTTCTTACTGAATTCACGCAGTTCCCCTCTCCCCTCTCGTTAATACAGTCATATTACTATTTTAGCAAGTACGGCTACTCCTTAAAGTAATAAAAAGCTTCCCCCATCATCATCAACAGACTCTCACCTTCCTCTGTAAGGACAGCACTGCCTTTCCATTCACTTTTCTCCCCCGCTTCAACATTCCCACTTGTAAAATGTACTCTTACATTAATCAGGGCTGTTAATATTTGCATTCTACTTTGTAACCATAACTAAGTATTCTCTTAAAAGAAAACCACAAACAGCATTTACATTAGTTGTTTTGATTATTTAAATGTTATTCATAAAACGGCCAAGCTGTGGATATCCTTTTTCTTTGGCTCCATGGTCTTGAACCACAAGCTATTCCCGGGGACACCGAAACAGAGTCCATTTTCTTACACGCCAACCCTCTGTTCAAAATTCTGCAGCATTTTTCATTTTTGGTATTAGAAGGATGCTTTTCCGTACAGGCTTTTTTCTTTTTTTGCTCCTGTAAATTTCTAATTGCCGTTGTTTTCTCCCAGAGATGAAGAAAATGTATTTGCCATCCACATTATATCTTTAAGATCTTCAATTTCTTACGCAACTGTCTTGCTTACAATCCAAATCCCATATTCCCGAAATTTAGAATTTCTTGTTTTAACTTGGTCCATGAGCTTGTTGTGTACTAAAAGACTTTTTTCTGAAAACCTTAGTTGCCTTTCTTCTTTAAAACGTGTGCTGTCGTTATCTTGTTTTGTTTTTAGGATGCAAAGCTTCCTGAACATTGTCGCCAGCTGTAACTGAAGGTCTTGCCTGCTCCCTCAAAACCGCTCACAGAATTTCGTGGCCCAGCAGCCCGGCAGCGATCGCGCGCGGAGCTCCGTTGCGGACGGAGCGCGCAGGCGCGGAGGGCACCCGGGCACTCTCGCGAGACTGCTGCACTCCTCGCTCGCGGTTCCGCTCGGTCGCCGGGCCTCGGGGAGTCGGCCTCGCTGCAGGCCCGGGATCCCGGTACTAAATGTGTACCTGCAGGCGGATGTTGAGGACCACGGAGCCCGCGACGTAGAAGTACGGGAAGTTCGCGCGCAGCTGCCAAGCCAGCTCGAAGAAGGCGAGCAGCGTGCGGGAGAGCCCCTTGCAGAAGACTCCGTAGGGGCTGGGCGCCGCGGCCGGGCTCGAGGCCCTGAGGGCCAGGGAGGACGCCGCCGTGGCCATGAGCCCCGTGCCGCCGCTCGCCCAGGGCCTGGCGCCGAGGGTCACGCGGGCCCCGCGCAGTGCCGACCGACAGCCGGGACCGGGAGGAACGGGGAGGGACCAAGCGGCCGCCGGGGTCACGTCCGCGCCTCCCGCCGCAGCCTTTTCCTCCCGGCGGCGCTCGGCCCGGCGGCCGCTGGCGCCCCGCCCCTTCCTGTCCGCTCCTCGGAATGGTCGTTAGTAGCGCTTTGCAAGGGTAGGGGAGGAACGTGTCACTTACTGACGTATTTTTCTGTAACATGGACAGCCATGTGTGGGAGCCAGTTACAGTTCGGCTTGATGGGCCGTTTAGGTTGGGTCTTGCTGGGACAACTTCCCTCCATGAGTCTCATTCTCCTGGAGTGTACCAGCCTGGTCATGTTGACGTGGGTTCCCAGCGCGGAAGGCATTTCAAATTCCTATGATCTCACAACTACCAATTCCCAATTCAGCAAAGTAAGGTTACATGAGTGAGCTCGGAGCCAAGGGGATACTGCAAAATTATTTTTCAAAGGGTGTAGATATAGTGAAGATAAAAACATTTTAGGAAAATGAGGCACTCTGTCCCAGCTTGCCCTCTTGGTTAAACTGTTTAGACTCCTGTGATGTCTCATTCGGTTGCAACGTTATCCTTGAATGCCAGGATCTATGGTCTGCGTATTAAAAACAGTGTATTTACCTGGCAAAGATGTACACAGCGTTG